GTAAACAGGTAAACATTTCGTTTATAGCACAAAAAGCGCGAGGAAGAATTTAGAAATGCAAAAATCAATTGTAGGTGTAAGGGTCTTAGTAAAGATGCGTAAAATTTGGCCTGAGAAACTCAAAATTCAGCTGTACAACCGTTGAAGTGAACTAATTACTATCTCACTCTTTTTCAGAAGCTAGAAATTTGGCATTGAAAACCCCGGGCTGCAATGCGCCAGGCTTGCCAGTGCTTTCATGCGTTTTTGCACTAAATTTGCAGATCGTTCATGCGCTGAAGACAGGAGAAATAGTTCATGAGCTGTAGTTCAAGAAATGGACCCGCATTGGCTGTGTTTTGGCCTTTTTTTCGTATGCTGGGAGAAAGGGCGTCGGCTGGGATGAGCATGTTGCATTATGGGGCCGCATGGACTTTGAGCGTGCATAATTATCAGTTTTTGCATGGAGCCCGGTCGCTTTTTCGATGAATGCTTGTTCATTGAAAAAAAGTGTAAACTTGAAGTAAATTGAAAGAAGTCTATTAAGTCTGCAAAATGCACTCGCTTTTGAATTTGCGATAAAATTAAATACTTGCCATGTCTGCTTGCAAGGAATTCCACCTCGAATCTGAATTAAGACCCTAGGTCAATATAGAGTATCCGTGCAAAGTTTCAGCTTCGCAGCTTGTCTGCGTCACGACTTAGGGCACTTCAAATATGCTTGAAATGCCGTAATTCGTAACGCAAGTTCAAGTCGAAACTCAATTTAGGTGTATAATTTTCCATATGAACAGCAAATATTCTGAAAAAATTTCAGCTGCTGTTTTACGGCTTTCGGGTTGGCATGGTGCCAACCGCGAACTTTGGCGTGGCTGTATGTGCGGTATAACCGTGTTTGATGGCTGAATTTTAGCTCACACATGCACACAAAATACCCCTGCAAATTTTCAATTTCCTATCTTGTTCACGAAGTCCTTTCTCGCCAGAGGAATTTGCATATTTTTTCTGGAGGTCCCTATGCGAGATCCAGGCGCATATGAGAGAAGGTTTTAAAACGGGAGGGCGACAGATGAGGTGAAAATATGCTATCAGAATTTCAGCCTCCTAGGTTTCCTGTTTACTGAGTTGAAACTGGTTGACAAAGTTCCCTTGTTTCCGAACACACACACATGGACGGCCTCTTAACAATACGCGTCTTTGCTCACTAGCCAAAACACAAAATGAACTTGCATCTCCAAAGTATTTTTTTAAACTAATTTTGTTCTTTGAGTATACTGCGACATGTCGCCGACCAGTTGGGATACGATTCTGAAGAGCAGCTAGAAGACTTGTACGAAAGAACTGCTTGGCATTTTGATAGAAAATTAAAGAAAAAGGCAGCCGCATTCGATGTATTCAAAAAAGCAATCACTGACCCGAGTGTCTTGGATGAGTGCGACATAGCGGCTGAAGTCCGTGAGAAACTTCTTGAAGACATTAGGTAATTTTCACGTTTTTTGGTGAATTTTCTTAGATGGAGCATTTGAACTGTCCTTAGCTTTTTATGAATTAACATTTCCTCAAGTTTTCTTTCAGGAAAAAATTGACTCCGCAAGCGGTCAAAATTCGAGCAGACATCGAAGTCTCATGTTTTTCATATGACGGCATCGGTGCTGTAAAAGAAGCACTGATCAAAGGACAGAAATGCTCAACTTCGGAAATGCCCATTAAGGTATTCTTGGAATATAGGTCCTTTTTCATATTCTTGTGATGTTTGCATTGCTTCCAAACGTTTTTGTATTATGCAAATGAAATTGCCATATGTTGAGATAAAGTGTTTGTGCGTCGGCAGTACCTTGACAGTTTTGCTCCAGAATCATGAAAGTTAGAAATCTCAGATTTTGGGATCATAGTCCCGACTCCCTGGCCAAGGAAATGAAATCATTAAAGTCAGTTTTGGTAGCTTGATTCTAGCTTTTGTTGTAAATTCGGGCTAGTTTTTATTATAACTTGAGAACCATGATGTGCCGAAATAGGGCGTTATCGCTTTATCTTATACTTTGAATTCAGGTCGTAATTCACACTAGTTTTATAACCCATGAATGGAGGAGACAGCAGTTTGGATGGAGGACTAGTTTCAGATGGTGTAAAGCAAATGATCGAAAAATATCTCGCTCTTATTATGGGCTGGAGTCCAAATTTTGGTTGATTAGTTGTAAAATGAAAGAAAAAGCTTGAAACTTAACGGTGGAACTCAAAATACACTTCCAAGTCGCTTTATTTCATGATACTGATCGCACATCAAAACATAAACTAATATCAGAATAAAAAAGGAGCTTCGCATACACAAAATCGGCAATAAAATCATGATGGCCCGCATGAATTTGTTGCAAGAGCTCATAACTGTGTTAATCAATTTGTG